GCATTGATATTTATTCAACCATACTGCCTCACATTTATTAATATCCGTTCAGTAATGCCAATCTATTGTTATTGTAGAATTAAGGTGATCAAAGCGTTCTGTGTAGACCTATATACACCTCATATTATAATCATAGTGCAGGAACAGTATGAATATGAGTCCCATAGGCCAAGATTAAATGCCAAAATAATCAAAATAATGTGAGTTCTAGGCCATTAATAAATGACTCGTCATAAATTATGTACATTTTGCGGTAGGCACCCTGTCCAGAAACATTTCCCGCAACCGCGTAACCTGGCTTAATTCATAGTGCCCACCCCCATCATTTCCGGCTTAGATGACACGCCGCTGTTATAATACACACGTTTGCAATTTCTTTTTACATGTAACATTTCGTATATATACATTATATAAACCTGTCTCTTATACACATCTAGATGTGTATAAGAGACAGGGCCTATTGTGTTTATGGTGCTAAATATGGATGCAAAAACGCTAAACAAGACTGAACCCGAAGTATTTTATCCGTAATCATATTTCGTCCTCAAGACTTCAAATATTTGAGGATTTTGAAATAGAGACGCCTACCTGAGATTTGCTCAACAGGTTGCAGACATCGGTGAAATTAGTATTTTGTCTGAAAGTATTTTAACATATTATAATTTTTTTTAATTGTTACACGACACCAATTTTATTAGGCCAAGTTGAATTGCTACTTTGAACAAGCCTAAGCATGTTTTAATGTAATATGCCTTGATGTTGCAATTGCAAAAATATGTAACTATACAAATTATTAAAGAATATTTCTTTGGTTGCATGGCTAGTATCAATAACAAAATAGTTAAACTTTCGGTATCGTACTGTATCACACAAGGGCGTCGATTCGTGGCTGAAAGTGGGGCGGGGGGATGAATTTCAAAATGAGGAGGTGTTGAACTTGGACCGTAGGTGGCCGTCTAGAGCATCCGGTCCAGAGCGATACCCCTGAGGCTATATAGTGTTCTAGCCTTTTATAATTCGCATGGTCGTACCGTATCTAATTGTTTTTTTAAAATGCCACATTATTTCACACTGCATATTCCAAATACAGTGGCAGATCCAGAAATTCGAAATAGAGGGGCCCAGGGAGGGACATTTAGAGAAGGTGGGTGTAGACCACCTCAGCCCTACCATGGTTGGGGCTGGTCATTGTAAGAAAATTTAGGATTATGGCACCTCTAGTTGGCCTGAAACGCCACTCTCTTTTTGAAATTAGGAAAAACAGGAACTACAGTATGTATGCAGATAATAGGCTATTAAACAATATACAGGTCTTGATAATAATATACAAAAGAAATAAATCGTTTATTTGAAATAATTGTACACTTTTTTGTTTGCCTAATAGGTTTAATCCTTTTAATTTTAACTCAAAGTGTACATTGTTTTCATAATGTATTTTGCCTCTGATAACCGTCTGCAACCATAAATCCATGGAGTGGTTACTGAGATACGAAATACAACTTTTTACCAAGATTTTGTCCGGAAATACGCACCGTACTAGGAACAGAGCTCAAGTAAACAGACAAATTCATGATAGTCATTCATAATTGTTGTTCTTTCCACACGCTTTTTAAAAGTGGGGTTTCAACTATAAAAGATTGGTAAAAATTGGGGGGGGGGGTTTATTTGTTATGATGTCCCCAGCTTTGAAAGTTGGGGAGGGGGACGTGTCCCCTGTCCCACACCGATCAACGCCCATGGGTACACGATGTGAAACAATATGGTTTTAGAGATAAGACCACTGTTTATTATCTGAACGTTTTGGTGACCATTATCAGCAGAATGTATGAATACCCCATCTTATTTAAAAGTAATAATATTATTGAATAGGATATTATTGATTGATATATGAAATAGGAATTACGCATTATTGAAGTGATGTGTACTGATACGTATGATTATCTAGAAAGTAAATTCCACATGTACTTTCT